TACAACATCTTCACGACAATTACATTATACATAGAGACCTCAAGCCCCATAACATACTCTTGTCCCAAAAAGGTGTTCTTAAGGTGGCAGATTTTGGACTGACCCGAGAATATGGATTTCCTCTTCAACAATATACACCGATTGTGGGCACAAGGTGGTACCGTGCGCCTGAATTACTGTTACTCTGCCCAGAATACTCTACTCCTATAGACATGTGGAGCGTTGGATGTATATTTGCTGAATTAATAAACTTGTGGCCACTGTTTCCTGGCACTTCTGAGTTAGATCAGTTAAACCGGATATTCATGGATTTGGGTACGCCGTCTGATGCAATTTGGCCCGGCTACAGCTCGTTGCCATCAGTAAAAAACATCAGTTTGGACGACTATCCACCAGGTGGGTTGCGCAAAAAGATAAGCAGCAAAGATCTTTCCGATAGCGGTTTATCCTTACTGGAAGGATTATTAACTTACTGTCCTGCAAAACGAATAACAGCAGCCGCTGCTTTAGAGCACGAATACTTCAAGGAGCAGCCGGTGGCAATAGAGCCGGCTAGGTTCCCGATGTTGATGCAGACTGTGAACAGCGATCAGTATTCCCCCATTGAATCGGAAGATATTCGTAGTTCTGAAATTGACGCAATGGAAGACAGGTAACTATCAAAAAATAAATTGAAGATACTACCAGCCTACTCTTATATATGAGACAATAATTTTTAGCTATGAAACATTTTTTTAACTAGAAAAATATAAAAAGTCAAGAGTCGGTCGTTAGTTAATAAGTTTAAATAAGTTTCATTTGAATTCATTATAAATGAAAAGAGTTTCATTTAAAGTCATTATCTAACGGCCGATGTTAATGTCCGGTCATAATCCAATTTCTGTGATTTGTGCTGTTGTCAAAAACTCCATAAAATAAAGATCAAAATTCAGTTGTAATAACCTAAACATAATGAAAAAATTAATTATAGTGTTTAACATAATATAGGACTGCAGACAGTGAGTGCACAGTGCAATGTGAAATAAATTATTAAATGTAAATAATAGTTTATAATATAAAATGTAAATGAATTGTGTAGTTAAGTTTATAAATAGTGATATGTCCTTCTTGTAATGTAGGTATGTGTATGTAGTATATAACCCTGTTTGTTATAAATTATTGTAATGACACCAGCCTTTGTATATTATACCTCTAAGTTAAATTAGTATGAAATAAAAATTAACAGTTATATACGTAATTTTATTTATGTTGTTTTATTTGTTACTTTCTAAAAATAATAATTATATTGATGTTAAAATACAGTTCCATTTTTTTATTTTTTGTTTATGTGTGTCTGTACATATCTTAACTCATATTATTTATATTAATCAAACAACTTCAATGGTACAAGTGGCCCTGAATTGAATGAATCACCCTTCTGGGCCTTCATGTGGTGTTTCTTTATTTCTCTTCACTCCTCCTTCCGAATATCCCCAATTTCTAAATCCCCAACAATCCTGAAATTCCCAACACCGAAACAGCCGATAACGCACTTGTGACGTCTCTGGTGTTTCGGGTGTCCATGGGTGACGCCTTTTGCTTTCCAAGAGGTCATCCGCCAGCTCGTTTACCGACTTATTCCATAAAAAATGTGATATTTTTGTTACTAAAATTAACAACATATTAGTTCTTACTTGCCTCGTCATATATCCTTAGAAAATGTATGTTCGTTTATTCAAATAAAAAACTTAAATTAAAAACTAACTATTACTTAAAAAAAAAAAAAAATTAAAACTAAATATTACTAAATTAAAACTAAAAAATTAAAACTAAATATTACTAAATTAAATACCTATATACAACTAAAGATTAAAATTAATTATAAGAAAAAACAAAAACAACTATTTACATAAAGCGTCGAAAAATTCGTCCGCATCGACGTCAGTGGGGAAAGTACCCAGAAGGCTGGCAGCATTGCCACGTTGTATGGCAATGCTTAGCCTCTGACCGAGAAAAAGACCAGCCCTCTGGTCACGAGATGTGTCAACCAGGCGTTTTGAAATGTTTTGGAACAATTTAAGTGCACTCGGACCCCACGGACCTAGCGTCTCAACCCCAAACGGCTCAAAGATATAACTACCAGCAAGGTTGTTATACTTGCGCCGCTTGAGGCTTTCTGCAGAGGCAGCAGCCGAACCAGCACAACCCGCCGTTACTGGAAGATGAGAAGGTGCAAGGGTGTCAACGCAGGTTGCGTCCCACACCAAAGACCTTCCCAGCTTCCAGGGCATAATGGACATACCGTCGGGTCTCTTACCATCGTCGCGTGCCAAACCCTTTGGTTCCAGAACAGCTGGCACACCGGCGATGATAAGAGCTCGGCGGATAATGTCGTTAATGCTGGCGTGTCGAGCTATCCGGCCCGCGCTTCTGCTACACGATAGGCCGTGGTGGCCGAGGTGGTCGACCATCTCACCGCATTGACAGCGATGCGGAGAAACACAGGGTGCACCTACACGCAAGCAAGCAGCAAGCCGAAAAGTTGAGTCATTCAACATCGTGCCAATATTGAGTGACGGAAGTGCCTGAAGCCAGAGGCCTGATTCCCACTCACCCACAGCCAATAGGCGAGCTAACTCCGCAGGATTGGTGCTGGTATTAATTAGATTATTATGCACCAACCTGCAAAGCGGCTCGTCCCATTGTCTCTGGGAGGAAGGGTTGACAGGCAAGGCTGTATTGGGACATGTTTCTGTCCAGACGTTCATCGCGTCGGTCAGACACGGCACATCAGGTTCAGCGTCAACACCAGCTAAAATTTTATTTGTTAACGTTCTAGTGCTGTGGACAGAAGAGATGAACGCCGGTAAACTTACACTGGTAATATTTGATGTTCGTTTGCAATGTTTTCATTCCAAAAAAGTACTAATTTCAATTAAGCAATGACTTGTTAATATACGTAATGTAAATCATTTACGATATTATTAAAAGCTCTTTACATTGTTCAAAATATAGTTTTAACATGTCGCAAACTAATTGCTATTTAGTTGTTTTAATCTAATGGATGATTATGTAGAAGCAATGTCATAATTGAAATATAGTTGATTTTATATTTGTATTGTAACTTTCGTGAGACATACTAAATAATCCACCCAAAGGTTGTCTGGTAAAAATCACTATAAGTGATAAGACCGCCTTTGTGCCCATTATTATTTTTATTTATATTTGTCATTTCCTTTTCTGTATGTACTGTATTATTAATGATGTACAATAAAGTTATATTCTATTCTATTCTATTCTATTCTAAATAAATTATTATATTTTCGGCTTACTCACGTAGTAATTCGACGAGGAACTCGACTAGTTTTAAGCCATGCTAGAGGCTCATATTCATGAGCAGCATTTCGCGACCCGCGACGCGGCGACTGTAGCAGCGCAACAGTCGCTCATAATAATTTATATAGCCGATATTAGTTGGCGGGTTCTTATGTTAATAATTTGGTATTAAGCTTCGATGTACTTTTAATCCGAACTTGGCACATAACTTGGAACATGGCAACTTTCAGTGACAGTTGTAGATAGCTACTTAGTACAATGAATATATTTTTTGGTTCATTTTGTAGTTTTTACAGTCGATATTCTTCAACTCGGTCTTATATTTATTTCTTCATTTATATTTAATAGATATACGTTAGTAATGAAACATGTGATAAGTTAATGCATAACATTGTATAATGTGATAAGTTAATGCATAACATACATAACATAACATCACGCCTTTTATCCCCGAAGGGGTAGGCAGAGGTGCACATTATGCCACTGTACAATGTAACACGCACTTTTCACTGTTTATGTTATGAGTCCCATGTAATAGGGGGTGAGCCTACTGGCATATACTGAGATTTTTTTTAAAAACCCAGTAATACTTTGCCCGACCCGGGAATCGAACCCGAAACCCCTTGCCCGACAGTTGCGACCACTCGGCCAAGAGGCAGTCTATAAGTTAATGCAATTAATAAAATTGGACCACATCTAATTTTCTATCTAAAACCTTAAAAGTTAAGCATTTTAGATACAGAAGTTTTCAAAGCAGGTACAAACAGTAGTCCAAACAAAGCCTTGGTACCTTATAAATATACCACATGTATGGGAACTTTGAACCATAATAATAAATCTTCCTATTGTGTATAGTGTAGTCAGGTAAAAGTGTTATTTAGTTCTGGCTTCAATAGAAGGGAATATAACACGAGGTCAAAATTCCTAGTGGAACTACTGAACCGAATCATGAACTTTGGTAGGAAGAAGGTTTGCTTAAAAGAAGAAAAACTGGGATAAGATCCCTACTAAAAATGTAAATCCAATGTCGGTACCTTAATACTATTTTTAAAACTAAAACCTATCTTTGAGCATCTCATTCAACTCCATCCTGGCTTAGTATTTATAACTTTTTCTCTGTACTTGAATTAAATTCACAGACTTCAGACGACGAAAAACTGACACACGAAGCTTATATTTTATTTTTCATACACAGACATGGCTGTTTCTGAAAAAATCACATGGTACAGGACACCTAGTATTTTTTAAATATGTTTTAAACAATACAAATATTGCTTTGAGAGATAATAACGGCCAGTAGTCACAATAAAGGTCACACGAATTTCTAACTTATTGCTGCCCTCAATACAATAGGCTTTGGAAAAGGGCAGCAATTAAGATAAGGAATTGTAAAAAATTCTTATAATTTTTAACACTTTAAAAAGGTAACGATTTTAACTAATTATTAACTACCCTATTGTGTTACTATGAATACACCCATTAAGTGCTATTATCTTTCAGGATGCGTGGTATTTCTTAGGGCCTATATAAGGGAGGGACCTTAAAGAACTTGCGCATTTACAGTTTAGACTGCAGACAGTGACGACACATTGTGAAGTGATTTTTGTTAAAGTTTGATACATTTTTTAATCATGGTTGCACTTGAGAAATCATGTAAAGACAAATGTGACTTGAAAAAGGCAGCAATGAACAAAATATACAAGAACAAGAAAGGGAAGGATAAAAATAATAACAAACCCAAGCCATTAAAAAGGAATAAACAGCCAGTGATCCAGTGTATTCGATCTGTAGATGAATTCAAATATCTCAACAGAATCGATGAAGGAGTTTTCGGAGTTATCCACTCAGCCAAGGACAAACGGACAGGAGAACTTGTTGCCCTCAAACAGCTTAAAAAAATTAATGAAAGGGAAGGGTACTCCAAAGCCGCTCGGAGAGAGTTACGGATATTGTTGAAAGTGCAGCATCCCAATGTGGTCGCAGGCCAAGGAATAGCGTCGAGTGCCAGAAGCGACCACGTGTTTATAATCATGGAGCTCATTGAATACGACTTAAAATCGTTCTTGCAAACAATGCATACCAACAGGCAAATGTTCTCAGTACAACACGTGAAATGCCTGATGACGCAACTGCTAAGCGCTGTACAACACCTACACAACCATCACGTGATACATCGCGATCTAAAAACCAGTAACATCTTGTTAACCGACGAAGGTGTACTGAAAGTGGCAGACTTTGGAAAGGCCCGAGAATTTGAATGCCCTCCTCGGCAATATACGCCGGCTATAGTTACGCGCTGGTACCGTGCGCCTGAACTACTACTGCTTTTAAAAGAATACTCTGCTCCTGTAGACATGTGGAGTGTTGGATGCATATTTGCTGAATTAATTACTTTGCGGCCACTGTTTCCCGGCACAACTGAACTGGATCAGATAACTAAAATATTCATGGATTTGGGGACGCCTTCAGACACGATTTGGCCCGGTTACAGCGCATTACCAATGGTAACAAACATCATGTTCGATAACTATCCACCGGGCGGGTTGCGGAAAAAGATAAGTCGGAAATTGCTGTCTACAGACGGTTTATCTTTACTGCAAGGTCTTTTAACCTATGATCCTGCAAAAAGAACAACAGCAGCCGCTGCTTTAGAGCACGCGTATTTCAAGGAGCATCCGGTGGCGATGGAGCCCGCCAAGTTCCTGACGACTCCCGTTTGCTGAGCTGTGAGGAGTGAGCACGCACGAGTGAAGTTCTCAGCTCGGGCTAAAGTTCTACCATCAGTGCATTGGACCACGCTGAAGAAGTTAGGGAAACAAATATCAATATATTCTTTAGGAAATATTGCGAATTTGTCAATGTATTTAAATGTAATTAATAGTTTTTTTTAATATAAGTTGTGAAGTTAAGTTTGTAAATAATAAATGTCCTTCCTGAATGTATGCGTATTTGGTATATGACTGTATTTCTTGTAAATTTTTGTAATAACACCTTTGTAAATATGAAATTAGTATGAAATAAAATAATACTTTAATAATTTTAATTATGTTGTTTAATTGTTCCATTCAATCAATTTTAATAACGTAAAGGTCTTTGGCGATTATTTTTTAAAATAGTGAAGCAAATACTTAATAATTATTATCGGGGAAAAATAGTTCTTCGAAATAATACATTATTTCCTATTTTATTTAAAGTAAAGACGCTTTGACAGACTTCTTAAGTTATTTATTGGAATCAAATTTTTTTTTCTTTACTTAAGCGCCTTCTTTTCCGTCTATACGTTTTTTTATTTTACAATCAAAGTCTAATATGCTTTTGTTAATTTGTAGTAACTTTATTTTAACTTATAATGTTCGTGCCTATACAAATACAGTATTTTTATAGGATAATTTAGTTAACGAGCAAACGGATCACCTGATGGTAAGCAATCATCGCCGCCCATTACACCTGAAACACCAAAGGGGTTACAAGTGCGTTACCGACCTTTTGGCCCTTTGGGAGGATTGTGAGGAATTAGGGGATAGAGAAGACGGGGGAGGGCGGGTATTTAGGCCTACAGTAACCTAACTCACAGGATGAAATACAAAGCAAGCTCACTCCGGTCGAGCCGGCCTATTCGTGCCGAAGCATGTCTCTAGGAACGGGGTAGTTTTTAGTCAGTAACAGTCTGACACTCCCTCCCGCCTCACCCAGGCGGGAGGTATATACCATAATATATAATAGGTATATCAATCTGTCAAAAATTCGGTGAAAAAATTTTAGTATTCTCCCTTATATAGTTCATAGGTCCTGAACTTTTCTGTTGTTCCCTAAACAGGTTTCGATAAATATTTTCAATACTTGTCCTATTATGAGATAAAGATCGTATTACAATAGGCCAATGTCAAATACCAACGAACTAGTTCTTTAGAACGTGGTAATTAAGACACTAAATAATATTTTTCCCACGCATCTGAAGAGACTTTGTGGCACTGTAAAAGCTATTGTTTATTTTCTGAGAATTTTATTTTCTTAGAATTTTATTATCATTAAAAATCATTTAGTACAAAAAAAATTATTATTAAAAAAACAAAATACCCGACTGCACACTAAAAAAAGAGTAAAACAAGCCCCACAATAATATTGATCAATCAAATGCTAAAAACTAATTATGTAATACCGTTTAAACAATACCTATATTAAAATACACTACAATATGTGTTCGTAATCGATAGTTAAATAAACAGAAACTTATTTTGAATACAAATTTACTGAATATAATTTATAAATGTTGATGGAATGCATCGCAGGCGGGGACCAACAGAGGCTTATTTATAGTCATTTCGGTTGTGCACCATTTAGCAGAATTTTCGTTGGTGGCGGTCAAGGTGGTCCCCGCCTGCGATGCTTTCCATCAACATTTATAAATTATATTCAGTAAATTTGTATTCAAAATAAGTTTCTGTTTATTTAACTATCGATTACGAACACATATTGTAGTGTATTTTAATATAGGTATTGTTTAAACGGTATTACATAATTAGTTTTTAGCATTTGATTGATCAATATTATTGTGGGGCTTGTTTTACTCTTTTTTTAGTGTGCAGTCGGGTATTTTGTTTTTTTAATAATAATTTTTTTATTTATAACTTTTTTTTATTAATAATTATTATTATATTATTAATTAATATGAAGAATTTAAGAAAGAACCAAAAAAAAAGAACGGAAGAACGAGTTAATTAATTAGAAAGAACGAATAAATTTAAAGAGAGAAACACGAAAGAAAAAAAAAAGAACGAGTTATTTATACTTTATAAGTTTCGCGTCAGACGACGAAGTATCGAAAAAATCGCTATTTAGAGACGACCGTCAACGACGTGTGCCCTCATGCGTGTGCCCGCAATCGGGCTGTATACTCGAGCATATCCCCCTCCGCACCGCGCCGCGCGCCGCATGCCAGGCCACGCCCTATCTTTTTGCTTGCTAACGCATGAGTTGCTTTGCGTTGACGCAGAATTAACATGTTCCCGTGGGAATTTTGAGAAAAAACGTATCCTATATTAATTACTCCCGTGATTGAAATGAATCTAATGATACCGCATACATATTTTTTTAAAGGGAAATTTAGAAAAAATATTATTATGTCTTTATCCCCGTGGGACTTTTAGGATAAAATGTATCCTATGACACTCCCGTAATCAAGACAAATCTAACGATACCTCATACATCAAAATCCATCAAGCCGTTTAGGCTACAGGTGGTCACAAAGGAAAAGACATACATACATACTTACATACACTCGAAAAACATTACCCTCCTTCTTTGGCAGTCGGGTAAAAAATTATTTCCTCATTTCTCTTCACTCGCATCATTTAGTTGTTTGATTAATATAAATAGCGTTGACGTAAGAAAAGTTGTGTTCGGACTCGTATCTAAATGAAGTTCATAATAATTTATTTATAAACTACGTTTAAAAATTAAAAAAAAGTTTTAAAAAAAATTCTCAGTAGTAGCACGGAGTCTGTAATTGTGCCCGGTATATGGCAATAGGCTCACACCCTATTACATGGGACTCATAACATAAATAGTGAAAAGTAGGTGTTACATTGTACAGTGGCCTAATGCGCACCTCTGCCTAACCCTTCGGGGGTAAAAGGCGTGATGTTATGTAAAAAATCTGACTTCTACCGCCTCTTGTTTTCAAGTCGGCTAATTACTATACTAAAGCCTTCTTCTGGGTAAAAAACAGGGAACTCCTTTTTTAAATCAGTTGAAAGTTAAAACTAAAGCAAAGTATTTTATTCAATTCATCTCTAATTAAGCATTTTTTAAAAGTCAAAGATGAATTGTCTGTCTGTCTGTTTGTCAGTGAAGCTTAGTACTCGTTCCAAAGGTAAGATTCGAATTGAAAAGAAGGAGGCATGGACCTAGCCCAAGGGATTAGAAATAATTGAAAGTGCGTAGCTCTTTTATCAATCAATAAATAGCAGACTGGAGGCATTTACTACCTCTTTTTAAAGCTTGACATTTATTATTTTTGCCATGTTTTGTTGTGTATTACTGTATATTGTGTTTACAATAATTGTTTTTTAATTAAATATAAATTACTATCAATAATAATTTTATCGTAATTTCAAATAAACGAAAAACATAATTGAATTGTCACCTTATTTATTCCAGTTATATAGTACATACATTTAACACAGTTTAAACATAAGAAACATTTCATAATTATATATTTCAACATGATTTCTATTCACCAGAACAAAAGCTCAATCGTAAATCCAGTCTTCTATCTCCAAACTCCCAGAAGTTCGGCAACGCAACTTGTAACGCCTGTGTTGTCGGGTCAGGTGATTCGTCGCACGCAGCTCATTTGCCGGCTTATTTCATGAAAAAGCTAGTGCTACTGCATCCGAGAGGCCCATCCGTGTCAAGGGCTGAGCTGCATCTGCGACTTGGCAGGCCACATCGGGAACCTGGCCGGTTCGATCGTCAACGGCTGTTCTTTGAAGTATGCATGATCCAAAGCGGCGTCTGCTGTCATCCTTCTCGCGGGATCATACAACAAAAAGTCTTGTAGTAGAGACAGCCCATCTTCAGAAAGTAAATTACTATTTATTTTTTCTCGCAACCTATTAAACTACGTTTAATAAAACCGCGTCATCCCCCTATTTTTTTCGAAGTCAGTCAATCAATACACCAAAACGTTCTCCTGCGTGTCAAACAGAGAACCTCCTTTTTTTAAAGTCGGTTAAAAACTAGACAAAGTCAAAGCCTTTTTTTTCAATAATCTTTAATTACACATACACTTTTGAAGCATCAAAATTGAATTGTCCGTCAGTGTGTTTGTCAGTGAAGCTAAGTGCTCGTTCCAAAGTATAGTTTCAAATGGAAAAAGAAGGCATGGAACTACCCTGAAACATTAGAAATAATTGAAAGTTCTTAGTTTTTAAAACTTGTTATTATTTTTTTTTATTTTAACTTATATTGCACTTTTGTAGTGTATTGCTGTATATTGTGTTCACAATATTTGTTTTTAAATGAAATATAAATTCCTATCAATAATATTTATATAATGATTTCAAATAAACGACCAACATAATTAAATTGTCACCTTATTTATTACACAGTTATATCGTACATACATTAAACACATATTAAACATAAAAAGCTTTAAAAATAATAATATAATTATGAAATTATACATTTCAATATGACTTCTATTCACCGGAACAAAAGCTCAATTGTAAATCCAGTCTTCTGTCTCCAAACTCCCAGAAGTTCGGCAACGCAACTTGTAACACCCTTGTTTTCGGGTCAGGTGATTTGTCTGCTTATTTGCCGTCTATTTCATGAAAAAGCGAGTGCTACTGCATCCGAGAGCCCCATTCATGTCAAGGGCTGAGCTGCATCTGCGACTTGGCAGGCCACATCGGGAACCTGGCCGGTTCGATCGCCAACGGCTGTTCTTTGAAGTATGCATGATCCAAAGCGGCGTCTGCTGTCATCCTTCTCGCGGGATCATACAACAAAAAGTCTTGTAGTAGAGACATCCCATCTTCAGAAAGTAGATTACTATTTATTTTTTCCCGCAACCCACCTGTTGGATGCTTTTTAAAAGTAATACTATCTACAGGTAACTCACTGAATCCGGGCCAAGTTGCGTCTGTAGGTGTTCCCAAACCCTCGAAAATTTTATTTATCTGATCCATTTCAGATCTTCCGGGAAACAGTGGCCGCA